CCGAGAGTCGGGGAGGCCTTCCTGGGGACATCACCAAGGTGAAACCCGACTGCTGGAGAAGGTAGAATGGTTGTATCTTGCTGAATGACTGAAGAATACGTATGCGTTTTGTTTTCAGCGGTATTATTCGCGTCTAACCTGGCAGGTGGCCCTGGCTGTCACCAGTGCTTGGGTGGGATCAACACCAGCGGCTGCCCGTACTTGGGCCGCCACATGAGGACCTGAGCGTCATTGGCGTTGGGCTTGATCAGGGCGCTGGGCTCATTCTTGCTCAGGATTTTGGGCTGGTCCTGGGCGATGGGCTCCCGCAGCCGGACTCGCTGGCCCACGGGCCCATTAGGGTTGACCTCCATGCTGAGCTGCATGCGCCAGTGCAGCATCTGTAGGATGATCATGTCATTGGTGGAGGTGTTGGTGGCCACCAGCCAGTTGGTGAAGCTGTGGTCCCGGTGGATGTTGGTGAGCTTGGCCACGTTGCTTTTGCTGACGGGCATTGCCCACGTGACGCTGGAGTAAACGCTGTCAGGGGGAGGGCAGGCTGTGTGCGGGGAGCTAGGGTGGAAAGCCGGGCGGGTGGGGGGGGGAGGAGGTTATGTCCGCCCACCATCGCTGCCTCCGCCACCTGCGGACCTGCATCCCCGCAGGGCTGGTGAGCGGGCGGCGGTTCCTGCGTGCGCTTGGCTGACAGCCGGGCTGGGCCGGCGCAGGGGCCGAGTTTCTGCAAAGTTTGACCCGGTTGCCTTTCCGATGCTGCAGCAGAGCGAGGCAGAGCAGGGCACACCAGGCGGCTGCCGCGCTGCGGCTGGGCTGAGCGGCTACAGCGCGCTCACCATGATCATAAAATAAAGGAGGCGCGTGGGGTGGGAGTCGGAGAGCCCGGAGCCTCAGCCCTCCGCCCCCGGCTTCTCCCGGAAACCCCAGCCGGCAGAGGGTGGGGGCCGGGGGAGCCCACGCCAGCCCCAAACCCCAGCAGAGCCTAGGGACAGTACCTGGGGAAGGGAGCGTTGCGGTGGGGGCACCCCGAGAGCCTGCCCACGCGGGGGTTAGGGGCATCTGGAGGGCGGCAGCCCCAGGGCAGGTGAGTCGGCAGTGCCGCCTGGGTGGGGGCATGCGCGCCAAAGTTCACCAACAGCAGCGAGCGGGGACTCGGGGCTGCTGGCAGCTAGAGAGGGTCCGCAGAGGCGCCCTACATGGCGGGGCAGGGGCACTACGCCCTCTGACAACCGAGAGACCCTGGCCGGGAATGGAGTGCCTGCTGGATCAGACGGCTCTGGTCCCCGGTGGCTGCAGCGAAGAAGGCGGCTGCGGCCGGAAGCGACAGCGGCGAGGGGACGTGGTGCGCCCGCGTCAGGGCGTCTGGCCCGCACCCTCGAGTGGGCGCAGACGGGGACCTGCGTTGCACTCCTCCCAGCACCAGCGAGCGGCCAGAGCCCGGAGCTGGCCTCCGGGAAGCGGTGGGTGGGCGCTCACCACGAGCGCGCCTGGCCCGCGGCTGGGTGAACTGAAACTGCTCGGCAATTGACTCAGCCCCGCCCGGCGGGTGCAGGTGCGGGCCCGGCAGGAGCGCATGCGGAAGGCCGAGGGCAGGAAGTCTAGCTTATGCAGCGAGGGTGGCGCGACCGCGTGGAGACAGAGCCTTCCTTTTTCATGATTTGCCGGCGGCCACCTGCTTCCTCCGAAGACTTCAGGGAGAGTCTGCGAGCTGCCGGCCCGGGTGTGAGGCAGAGGAGGGCTGGATGTTAGAGCGACATGACTATTTATTAAACTCCAAACTTTTGTTTTTTAACCCAAGGAATATCGGTGATTTTTGTCCACTGTGAGGAGAAGAAGAGCGAGCCCAGGGCTCTTGAAATGCAGCAGAATCCGTATTTATAAACAGGCCACAGTAGTGATATATGCAAACCCCTCTACTCAGTGAGTTTTCTAGCCTATGGATAACGGTCTTGAGAGTTGAGACTGGAGAGCAGCGCCGTCTGCGCTGGGTCCTGCAGCCTACGTCCTTTCAATGCCTGGTTTTCTCTGTGATTGCTGGCCTTCCCTGGAGTTCAGAGCGCTCCTGTGTGCCATGGGCTGTATTCAGAGCATCGGAGGCAAAGCCAGGGTCTTCTGGGAAAGGATCATGGTGATTGATGTAAGAGCCTCCGTCAACCCTGTCCCCACCAGCATCGATGAGTCCTCTAGCGTGGTGCTCCGCTACCGGACACCCCACTTTCAGGCCTCGGCCCAGGTGATCCTGCCGCCCATCCCCAAGAAGGAGACCTGGATCATTGGCTGGGTCCAGGCATGCAGCCACATGGAGTTCTACAACCAGTATGGTGAGCAGGGCATGTCCAGCTGGGAGCTCCCAGACCTCCAGGAGGGCAAGAGCCAAGCCATCAGTGACTCAGACGGGGTGAACTAACCCTGGTACAGCAACACCACGGAGACCTGCACCATCGTGGGCCCCACCAGGAGGGACTCCAAGTTCGTTATCAGCATGAATGATGAATGATCTTTTTAATGTGTTGTTGAATTCGGTTTGCTAGTATTTTGTTGAGGATTTTTGCATCAGTGTTCATCAGGGATATGGGCTTATGTTTTTTTCTTTCTTTTTTTGATGTGTCTTTATCTGGTATGGTATTTTGGTAATATC